GTCTCTTTGACTTCAATTTGAGCAGTTAATTGACCATTCTGTTGATCTTTTAATTTCCTGTTTTCCTCTTCTAGTTGTTTGATTCTTTCTTCTAAACCCTGTACCTTATCTAATAACTCCTGTTTTTGCTTTTTACATCACTCTTCAGATTTTTCCTGAAACTTGGCTACTTCTTCTCTTCAGACCAGGCTTGGCTGTTACCAAATGAGCATTGATTATTGATGAGAGTCAGCATTCATGTGTTATCACCTATCACCTACTAGCATAAAGTTGTAATCTGCAATTGATTCAAGATTCTCAACTCGGGATATTGCAACCTGGATTGCTGTTTTATCAGGGCACACCTAGAACTGCCTTTCTGAACTCCTGGCCATTTTCTAACCCATATGAAACCAATTTTAAGAGGTTTTTTAATAGTGTCTACCCCAGTTTCAAAGAGCTTTGAAAATTTTCCAAACTAATGTTTGAGTTTCAAAGAGCAGCAGTAAGCACACCCACACACAAGCAAAAGTTTTGTATCAAGGCAGGGGACTGACTAAACACACCCCATATATAAAAATGTGATTCATGTAAATTTTTGGCATATATTAAAATATTTATTATGTGCAATCATATATGCATTAATTATCTTTGTAAAAGGGAAAATAATAATTTTCAAATTCTTAAAGTCAAATATAAACTAACTTCATCCAATACAATACAGTTTCATTTTTGCTAAAATATCTCCATAAAAATCCTTTCTATTTTCTGATGTTATCACAATTTCATTACAATCATAGGACTCATCATCACATTACCTGTATAAATACTTGCTCTAATTCTTTTTTTTATAAATATCTACCTACATACTTAAAAGCAAAGAAAACTTTCTCACACGAAAAAAGTGAAAATCGACAAGAATTAACTGAACAATCAAATCAAAATGAAATTCAATATTTCCCTTCTATTTTTGATTATCATTACTGTTGTTGTTGCTTTAGTAATTCCAGTTGACCGTGGCTTGAAGGAACGTAAGTATTTCGTTATTATTATTAATTGAGACTTTCCCGAATTATTTTTTGATAATAATTAATTATCTTGGATATGAACCTAACTAATAACTGAACTTTTGTCCATTATGATCAATCAATATCATCATTTTGAAAAAAATATTAATTGTTGATTTAAATAATAAATAGGGTAGGTATTTTCACTACAATCAATATCGTTGTTTTTAAAAAATATTAACTGTTTATTTCATTTATTTTAAAATAATAAATAGCCAGTGAGTATTTTCATCATCATTATTATTACTAGTCAATATCATTGTTTTTGAAAAATATTAACTGTTTATTTCATTTTATTTTAAATAATAAATAGATGGTAAGTATTTTCATCATTGTTATCACTAGTCGATATCATTGTTTTTGAAATATTAACTGTTGATTTTCATTTTATTTTGAATAATAAATAGTCTGTAAGTATTTTTCATCGTTATTATTATTGCAGTCAATATCATTGTTTTTGAAAAAATATTAACTGTTGACTTTTATTTTATTTTAAATAATGAATAGTTCCTGGTAAGCATTTTCATCATCATTATATTATAGTCGATATCATTGTTTTTGAAAAAATATTAACCATTGATTTACAATTAAATAATAAATAGTCATAAGTAATTTCATCATTATTGGAGTCAATATCATTGTTTTTGAAAATATTTAAATAGTGAATAAGTTATAAATATCTTATATTTGCTCTTTGATTCTCTTATAGCTAGCTAATTACATTTATTTAAATTTTTGGTAATATAAATTATATTCTTTTTTTACTTTTTTACAATTATTTCATTAAATTTACCATTCGATGAGCTTTTGTTTTTTTAATTTTATATTTGTTATTAATTTTACATTGTGTAAGAATTTTTTATATTAAAAAAAAAAAAAAAATTATTCAAAAAGTACAGTCAAAGTTTGTTAAATTCATAGGCCTGGCACAAAGAAATAGTAAATTCAATCTTTTTTTCTTGTTAATATAAAAAATGAGTTCAATTTTCAAATTAAGCGTAGAAACACAGATGATAATAAGGTTTCAATTGACAAAAAACAATTGTATATTTGAAATTTTTTGTAGACTTTCTAAATTTTGTTTTTTTCCCTTTTTGTTTGCTTTTTTGCCTTCATTAGTTGGTTATCTGCATTATTCTTGCTTTAATAGTTTCATTTGATTACGCTAGGGAAATTAAATATCGAGCCACCGCATAATAATGATTCGCCACATACTGAAACAATAGGCTTTTTATTTACTGCATCTTCTATATATGAAGCTTTATTTTTTTTTCTTTTAATGTACAGATCACCGATGTGTTAGATGTAGTCATAGTATAGCCATTGTATATGTCTCTATTCAGCCTGAACATGGAATCATCATCACCGTTGTTGGAAGGATCTTTTACATGGCCAGTGAAGGTCCAAACTGGTGGTGATATGGGTAAGTCAAATTTTGATGGATCTTTGTTTAAAGTATTTGTTATAAATTGAACTGGTACAACCTTTAATAATTTTTTTTTGTAAAGAATAAATAAATGTGTTATTGCTATTGATAAATTATTTTTAATATACACTGTATATATATTATTTTATTACGTAATTAATGTCTTCTTCATCATCATATGCACATCTCCCAATCATCATTCCAAAGGAGTGTTTTTTAATATCATCTATGAGATTAGTATTTTCGTTATAATATTTTTTAAATCGAAAGTTAAAAAATTCTTCATAATTGATAACTATTGCCTCTCCAATAAATATGGTTTTTTTAACATAATTTACTTCACCGATAAAACATAACGAAGTGATGATTGATGCATTTTTTAAAATTAAAAAAATGATTATAAATAGTGTGTGCGCATGTTAATATATATATTTAAAAAGCTTTTTACCATGAAATAAACATTAAAAAAGAATAATAATAACTCCACGTTATTATTGTTTACTATTTACAAATTTACAAATAATAAAATAATATGTTTATTTGTCAATATATTTATTCTACTACTGCTTACCATTAGTTTCTTTCGTCATTATTTCTACCACTAAAGCAGTTAAATTTTTTTTTAATGAATGGTTGTTCTCTCGAAATGAGAAAAATCATTCTCGCCGATTTTATTTGTTTGTTTTCTTGCGTTAATATCTACGAAGTCACGCAGATTTTTGATTTAATATTGACATTAAAGGAAAAAGATATTTTCTGCTTGGTCATGATAATGCTGTGCCATAAAATTTTTTATAAAAGTAGAATTTACCCTTCCTTACATTTCTTAAAAAAATTTTAATATAATTTGTTCAATTAATTCTTTTATAAAAATGAGTGATGACTGTATAGTAGTAGTGACAGTCAAAGGAAGTAGGTAAAGATGAAATATCAGAAAATAATATTAAAAATCTGGCTGGAAATTATATAAATGTTGATGCTATTGAACAACAAACTATAATTAATGCACATAATGGGTGTTCCATTGATGAAATAAAGTGTAGTCCTAATTATAAGTTTTTAGTAACTCTTAGTAAACAAGACAAATCTAGTGCTGGATGGACAGTTGATTTTAAAAAAGGAACAATTCAACAAGATGGTCAGGATAATTATTTTAAATATTCTCGAAAACACATAATGGATGTTTCAGATAATAAATATATACTTGATTGTGATGATTATTTATTATGCATATTATATTATTTATAATAATAAATATATTTTTTTTTTGCAGGTCGCGTTTACTTCGTCGACAATCATTTCGTCGACACCCATTTCGTCGAAAGTTCATTTCATCGAATGTTCATTTCGTCGAATGTTCATTTCATCGAATGTTTGTTTCATCGAATGTTTATTTCGTCGAATGTTCATTTCGTCGAATGTTCATTTCGTCGAAAATTATTTTATCCTCGATCCAGTGACCGAACGAGTTAGATGCGAGGAATGTGGAAAGTTAGTTAAGAAATTAGGCGAGGAAAGTGGGGAAGTGTGAGGAGAAATTTGTTTAATGAAGTTTTCTTTTTTGTGACGAAATAATTTTCGACTAAATGAGCATTCGACGAAATGAACTTTCGATGAAACAAACTTTCGACGAAATGACTGTCGACGAAATGAATCAGACCCCTCTGTTATGTTCCTATTATAATTATGTATATATTTCTTTTTACATAGGAATAATAAATAAATTACATCCAGGCAATAAATAATACCAAAACCATGTTTGGCTGTTACCAAATGAGCATTGATTATTGACGAGAGTCAGCATCCATGAGTTATCACCCACCACCTGCTAGCAAAAAGTTGTAGTCTGAAATTGATTCAAGATTCTCAAATTGGGATGCTGTTTTATCAGGGCACACCTAGAACTGCCTTTCTGAACTCCTGGCCATTTTCTAGCGCATTTTGAAACCAATTTGAAGAAGTTTTTTAATAGTGTCTACCCCAGTTTCAAAGAGCTTTGAAAATTTTCCAAACTAATGTTTGAGTTTCAAAGAACAGCACCAGGCACATTCACACACAAGCAAAAGTTTTGTACCAAGGCAGGGGACTGACTGAACACACCCCATATATAAAAATAATGATGATTCATGTAAATTTTTGGTATATATTAATATATTTATTATATACAATTATATATACATTAATTATCTTTGTAAAAGGGAAAATAATAATTTTCAAATTCTTAAAGTCAAATATAAACTAACTTCATCCAATACAATACAGTTTCATTTTTGCTAAAATATCTCCATAAAAATCCTTTCTATTTTCTGATGTTATCACAATTTCATTACAATCATAGGACTCATCATCACATGCATGAGCATCAGTGATAAAAATAAAGATATGCTCTCCAACATTTGCATCTAACACCTTTTTATGTTCAGACTTTACAACTCCTTTATCCAGGATATTTGGTGAACATCCAATAATTTCTTTTTTTCAACCAATAACTCCTTGCTTGTCTTGGATAAATATAGGTGGATTTGTCATCATTATCCCATCTGAAAAGGAGGCATTTGGCAGGTTGTGGAAAGCAATACACCTTTCTTTAAATTCTTTAGAATAATCATTAAAAAATTGATTCCAATGGTCTTTATCAACTCTGTAGGGTGTTGAATGCACAACAAACTTAGGTCCAAATTCAATATATTTATCTGATTGTCCTTCCAATGGAACCAATTCAGAAAGTCTACATTTCCCTCTTTGACTTTCAGTCACTTTTTTATCACTAATAGACTTACAATATAACCCCCAAAGACGAAAAACCATTACTGATAATGTCAATGCCTCATTTTCATCTGATGAAAGTGTATTTTCTACAGAATGGAAAAGTTTGATTGCTGGTAGCTTGCTTTGATCTAAATTATGATAGACTTGCTGTAAAGTGAGAAATGGAAGTACTAGCTTTTTTGTTCAAGAAGATCAGTTCATCCATTTCCAAATCCTATAGGGAAAAGCATAAAACAAATAAATAATTTATATCTAAGAGCATGTATGTAAGTCATCAAAATCTTACTTCAATCTTTCTTTTTCCCAATGTGGTTGTCTGAGTAACTTCTCAACCAAATAAAGTATATGCAACTAACTGAGGGAAAATTTCAATATTATCTGATAGTGTGTATGCATTGTAGTAACATGAATAAGATCTACTTAATTTATCTTTTACCCTTCCAAGGAGTGTTGTACAATAATCATAATTGTATTAACAACATTCCAAAAAATGATAATATCCTTGGTGATAAAATTTTGTTGCAAGTGTATTTTTATTAGACTTGGCACTAAAGCCAATAATAGCCATTTCAAATATCATAATTTCTAGGTAACAACCAACAACACCAAGAAGATTGATTATATGTTTTAGATTTGGAGAAATTTCCTTAATCTTCCTGCTTTTTGTGATAAAATATTTAGTCTTGTAAGTCTTATAAAATACATAATCAATGAATCAATACTCACTTTTTTTGATTCTAAAATGAAAAAAATATTATTTGAATTAGTACTGGATCAATCAGTAGTAAGTTTTAATGCCAAAAATTTAGCTTACCCAATTTGCCAAATCTAAGAACACCTCTTGTGCATGTTCTGAAATTAGTAATGGTAATGATATTTCTTGAATACAGGCATCAGAAGATGCAATTGAATTGAATAAAAAACTTGCATGAGTCCCTGTTAAAATAACAAAAATAAAATTATTTGACACAATGAGATTTATAAAGATTCTTAAAAGTTCTTGAAGTGACTTGGATTAAAATCATGTATGTTTCCGCAAAAATATCCGCAAATTTGCGCAGCATCATGAAAATATCCAATTTTATTGGTGGGTTGGGTGCGTGTTATCCTTATTTAGAAATTGATTTGGCGATTGCGGATATTTTTGCGGAAAAATACATGATTAATTCCAAGTCATGTGCCCACTAATTTATCATTGATCGAAATTATTTGTAACAATTATTATTATTATTATGATATGATCTAAATTAAAAAAAAAACTTTTTTTTCAAAATATTAATTTTAATTTTAAAAATGGCAGCACACCAAGAAATTAGTCAAGAATTAAACAAGGCAAGGGAATATTATGAGGTGGCGGAAGCAGAGTTGAAGAAGTTTATGGAAGAGGAGAACTTGAAGTCATTTGAAGAAAGGTGGGGAATAGAAGATTTAAGGAAAAAAAAGGAAAGGTTAGAGAAGGAGAAGGATGAGAGGTGGTACCAGGTTAAGAAATTACAAGATGCGTTGATGGATTTTGGTAAAGAAAAAGGTAATGAACAAATTGCATAAGAAAAAAAAAATTACTTTTTGTTCGTTTTATTTATTTGTTTTGTACACTGCTTACAACTTTGAGTAACTTGTGCTTTGTTTCTTTTTTTTTCTCTTTACTTATTGCAGCAGGTAAATTCAGACCATGCCATATTCACCAATAATACCAAATACTTACTTATTCTTGTGTTTTTCTTTCCTGTTTCTTATCGTCAAACCGCCAAAAAACACATTTGCTTCCCATATTTTTTTTATTCAATCAGGCAAAAGAAAAGCAGAAGATTCAAACAAGGAATTTACTGATAAAAAAGTGAAACAAATAGTTGGTAATATATCTTAAATTCTGTGGAAAATAGAATCATATACGTTAAATATCATTCCTTCTAGTTTTAAATATTACTGTTTGGAACCAACATTTCTTTGTATTTACATAAATCCAAAAGTGCCTACCACTCCTGAATCCATAGCAGAGTTTCTAGAAGGACAAGAAGGTGTCAAAGATGATTTCACAAAGCCACATCAACTATGTGAAAATGAATTTAACTTTCAAAGAAAAGGTAGAGATGAAACGCTACATGGAATATATGATTACATTGTTGAGCGTTATTTTAGAATTAAGAAAGCCTCGGATAAAGGGAAAAGTGTTGGTGGTAAAACTTATCACCATGCTCTCACAATTCAAGCCACACCAGGAGGAGGAAAATCTTTCTTGCTTGATGAATTGGCAGCCTTGAAAAATGAAGATTTTGATAATTATTTGAGAAGCAAGAATCATCAACACCCTTTTATTATAGAAGATGAAGAGGACTGTTGTTACAATGAGGCAGTTAATAATGTCATAAATATGCTTCATAATTCGGTTGCAGTTTGCATAACATACAATGGACATTCAGCGTACAATTTTGATGAATTTGTAGATGATAATATTGAAAGAGGACTAGTAATGCGTATCTTATGGAGTTATTTTTTTGATGATGGAAAACTAAGCTGGCAGAATTTTTGTGAGAAATTTAAAACAAATTTTGAATCATTGAACATTCGTACTGTTGTTCAAAGCATCTTATATCATTCAAAGAAACGAGTACTTCTATGCATTGATGAGATTATGAAAATTTTGTCAGGCACTGACACAAATCAAAAACAAGCTAAAGTTAATAAATTCTTAAATCATCTCTATAATCCCTACCAAGAGTTTGCAAAAGATAAAGAAGAGTTGATCAAATTTAATTTTATCCTGACTACACTTGATGCGGTTTATGTGCAAAGTAATATGACTGACTCAGGTAGACAAATCGAATGGATACCATTAAGAAGACTGGAGATTTCAGAATCAGCAGAATTATTTAATGAAGTTATAAGGAGTTTAAACTTAGAAGAGAATAGGTTGTTTGTCATTAAAAAATGCATTTCCGATTGTAATGGACATCCAAGGACCCTGGAAAAATTCTATCAAGTTTTTAATAGCAACAAAGAAGCTCAGATAATTCACAATTACAGTTCTCTTATCGCAATCTTGACAAACCATATTAGAGATTGGTATAAGAATATATCCTTTCCTGTAGTTAAAATGGCTTTACTAGGAGAATCAGTAAGATTGAGTCATGTTATAAATACTAATGGTGAACAATTAAGCATTTCAGCCCTTGTTTCTTCCGGAGATTACATTAATTCACTTACTGAAAAAAGTGAAGCTCAGTTTGTTATTCCCACCTTATCACCAGTTAGCCTACAATATTTTTGTTTAAACAATGAAGATGATGGTGATGCAAAAATTGCCACTAAAATAATACAAAGGCTACTTACAACAGAATCTTCTTTTGATGACGAAGTGATGGATGGAAGGCCCTTTGAAAGATTCCATGCAAACTGGGAATTACTATACCGTGTGCTTCGTGAAAATGGAAAGAAGATAAGTCTTCATGAGATTTATGGTTTATCTGACAGAGACAAAGAAGAAATTGAGATACAGTTACAAAGGAAGAGAATTGCATACTGTCATGAAGAAATAGAATTTCCTCCAAATGATACAATATACAATTCATCCTGAAAAGTTTTTGAGAATCTTAATGATTATTTATTTGTTCCCAAAAAATCAAATAATAGTGGGTTTGACATGGTTATATTTGAAAGAAAAGCAGACGAATCTGGCTATATTGCAATCAATATTGAATGCAGATTTACTTATCGAGACCATCAGACAACATTAGAAAGTAAGGAGATATTGAATAAATATAAAAATATGAAAAAGAAATACCTTATGCATGTAAGATATTTATGCAATAGACTTAGAAGTGAAACTAATGCATGGGAAAATGGATCATTTTACGATAAATCTTCTGTGGGAAAACTCAAAATGACTGAAAATGATATTTGTCTGGTTTTTGTAGTTTGGAGAGACTTAGACTTAGGAATGCTCAGTCATGAAGTATTAAATAATAAAAATATAATTATTGTTGATAGAGAACATTTGAAAGGGCATCTAGCTTTACATGGTTCTGCAGTGCCAACTAATGTGAAACTTGAATACATGCAAATACTGATAG